CAGTGTGAAAGAGGCGTTTGTCAAATTTATCAACTAGGGCGATGACACGATGTTGTCAGCGGCTTGGGAGTGTTGTTTGGAGAGGATCAGGCGAGCGGTGTAATGACAATCCACTGGCCGACTGAGAGCTGCTAAAGAACGGGGAAGTGTACAGAGAGCAGTGCTGCAGCTTTCAGACAAATAAACACCCGTAGTCGGTCTGGATTCTGCTCTGACAGCTGCACTGTTTACCTGCAGGAGGAGCTCAGAGTTAACTGCTTTTATTAAATTAGCTTTTTACTTTAGTTTTTGGGATTACAACTCGATTTTTCTTCACTTGCGCTTCTCGGCAGCTAGCTTCCGTGCACATCCGGTTCCACGGTTGTTGTTAGCGTCGGATGGCACCAGAATTCAGCTTGACCACTGCTTCATATTTATATCAAAACCGGACAAAGCTGGACATGGGGAAAAGAAAGCAAGGAAGTAGAACTACCTGGTGAGTTCAGAAAATGTGTGTCTGTAAATTTATTCCAACTATTGTTGTTTACTGTGAACAGGTTAGCGTAGCATAGCCCAGCAGGTTCCGAACTCCATTCAGAAAACAAACCTTTTCTGCTGACTTGCTGACAGCATGAATTCAAATGTCTAACAAAACGGCATCATATTGTAGTTATATTCAGGATCAGTTTGATCCTTTTATTGCAATTAAATCACAGCAAAGGGTTTACTTTGGGTTCTTATAGCTGTAGTATCCGCGGGCTGTGTTTATTCGCTTAAAACGCGTTGTGTGTGTGAACACTCAAAATGTCCAGCGGTCAAACTCGCGCGAGTAAAGCGAGGCAAATATTAAATTCACTTTCAGTGTGAACACACCTTTGAAGCAGGAAGGCACAGAGGCTTCAGAAAGGCACAGGTTGTAAATGTCAGCATACCCTAAGTGCCCGCCCAGGGATGTTATCTGGCCCCAGCTGCCTTCTGTGGGTTTATTCTCTTCAGAGTCATGCGCACCTCTGCCAGTGACACGGAGTGCTTGTCCCATATACCCTTCTGGGCCACAATCCTGTGCTGTTGGTTGAGGTTGGCAACCTCAAAGCGAGCATAGAACTCATTCAGCTCATCTGGAAGTGTGTTCATTTCAGAAATGGAGTCCAGATATTGAGAACAGGCTTATAAAGGCTTTTTTTTAGGCTGTCCCTTAAAGATAAAATCTGCAGATGGTTCATCAAGTGGATTAATCAGTCATGTAAACCTCCTCATCCAAACTCAGAGGTGTGGGAAATAAAAGAGGCCTATGTGCAGGAAACAGTCATTATTATAACTGCTCAGTCATTGTTATTAGGACAAATGACAGGAAGATAAGATTGGGGGGGAAAAAGAACAAGCTGTGTTAAGATGTTTCCTTCTGCTATCAACCGAAGGAACCTATTCAAGTAGCTATCATCAAAAACACATTTCCATTTTTGGTTGTTATTGCCAATAAAATCATGAGCTATAAGGGAAGCAGTGCACTCAGGGGGGATGTCAGATAAATGACTTGTTTTTCTGAACTTTGATAACATGGAAAGAACCTAGAATTCTGAATTGCAGTGACGCAGTTTGGAAACAGACAGGAAGTCAACGTGGCATTGAGCAGTGTGCAAAGATTTGAATATAAAAAATGAAGGAAGGAGAAAAAGGTGGGTCTTCTCTTGAGCTGTCAGAGAGAGGCCCCTCAGTCCGCCAGGAACTGAGGTAATAGCCTATAGATAGGTTAAATTCTAAGTCAACCTTGCCCTAGAAGTAATATCCTTAAGAAAATATTGATTGATAATCTGACTTTGGTTATAGTTACCTTTTTCCCCATGCCAAACTTGGTATTATTGTTATCAGTAATATTTACTGATTCTTAAGCTTTTCTGTAATCCATACTCATTTTTATATTCCTGTAAAAAAATTATTGTAAAAACTTTTATTCGGAGGTTAGTTGTGATTTATATTTCCATGAGGGAAAAGCCGTCACATAAAATTCCCCACTGAGGGCAGAGAGGCATCAAGTACAGGAGAAATGCAAGATGTCCTAAAACAAAGAGCATTAACATTAAACATTAAATTACTGAAACAGCTGGACGATGTTCTGTGGCAGTAATGACCTCACATCAGCACTTTTTGATTAAATAAATGTTAAATGCAACAAATGTTTCTCTCAAACAACAGGTTTCACTCTGAAGAATGGAAGGTTTCTACATGAACAGCACCTCAAAAGATCAACACTATGCTACCACTAACTACCAGAATTACAGCAACATCACCTCCAACTACCAGAATTACAGCAACATCACCTCCAACTACCAGAACTACAATGAGCTTGAAGAGTATTACAAATTAGTTGCAATCACCTTCGTGCCGACATGCATAATCATCGCTATCTGCCTCCCGCTGACCCTCGTTGCCATCCATGCTCTTTATTCTATGGTATGTACATTATGACTGAGAGATATTTAATAACTTTTTCTGTCATGTCCCTCTTTAAAGACAAAAAAAGTGGATTTCATTTGTATCAATCATTAACAACACGAGAGATTGAATTAAACAAGCCATTCAAGTTAAATTAGCAAGCCTCCCAGTTTGAGAAACATTGTTACAGATAATCTTTATCTGGTTTGAGGGCAAAGTGTCAGGGGGCTGGGACAAAAGTTTGAATTGATCTATAAACTTACAGGAATAATATACTCCATAATTAAAATGCACACGTAGCTGATTGGACCCTAAAGACATGCAGTTCAGAATCAGAAGGAGCTTTATTGCCAAGCAGTGTTTTACACATACGAGGAATTTTCTTGGTGATAAGGTTCTACACGTAGACAAACATACAGTTAGCAGATTTGCACATGCTAAGATGTTATACCAAGATGGCAAACATGGCAAACAGTGATCACCAACAGTGTTTAGCACACTGTTGGTGATTTTTAGGGCCCGAGCATGAAACATGTGAGGTCCCTATTGGAACAGAAGGGATTATTTTCTTTTTTCTGCAAAGTAAGCATTTTTGGCGGCTTAAACATACTTGAAAGCTCACCAAACTTTGCATATATGTCAGAAGTGGCGAAAAATATGTATATGTATTTTATGGGCCCTGCACATGGGCGTGGCAAAATGGCTCGCTAGCTCCACCTACAAAATTGGAAAAAATTAGCCCTTCGGCTATGTTCAGCCTACATGCACAAAATTTTTTGGGGACATGTATCATATCAAGACACAAAAAAGCCATACCCTTAACGCAACAGGAGGTCCGCCATTTTAAATTGAATGTGCAATTTTAACCCATTTTATACCATTTACAAGGTGTATACTTTAACAAACTTCTCCTAGAGAATTAATCCAATCAACTTAAAATTTTTGCTGCGCATTCTAAACCCATTGAAGATTAGAACTTGTACAAACGGTGAGTTTTCATCCAGCGTGCCCGTGGCGTCGAAAATTTAGGATTCGCCATGAAACAGGAAGTTGTAATAACTTCAGTGTACATGCCCATATCTGCACTAAATTTGATATGTATAATAAGATTCCTGCCCTGAACACATCCACATGCCAACATTCACTCAAAGCCATAGCGCCAACTACTGGCAACAGGAAGTGACCACGAAGCAGCCCCCGCGGCACGTTTCACTTACATATACGAAATTTCTGTGCCACGTGTATCATGTCCAGATGCACCAAAAAGCTGACCTAATCCCAACACGGTCATTTTTGGATGATTTACAGGCTCCGTACTTTAACAAACTCCTCCTGGAGAATTTGTCCAACCGACTTCAGATTGTCGCTGTCCACTCTAAACTGCTGAAAGCTGAACAAACGGTTCGCCATGAAAGAGGAAGTTGTTGTAACTTCAGTCTACATTCTCACATCTGCACCAAACTTTACATGTTTGATAAGAGTACCGCCCTGAACACATCTACAAGCCAAATTCACCCGTAGTCCCAGTGCCACCTGCTGGCAACAGGAAGTGACTATGTTTATGCTGTGACGAACAACTTCTTGCAGGTTAGATATATCTACTTCAAAACTGTCTCAGAAAAATCTCAACACATTGATGATGTCATGTTGATAACTGTTTCATATTCATTTGTAGTCGTAGCGCCAAGTGCTCTGAACAGACACAAAGGGGACACGGGAAGTTACGTATAACACCTTTGTGTAGGCGCGTAGCAAATTCACAGCTGCACTGGCAAAGCTCCAGAATCTGCAATGCGGGTGCCTCACACCTCAACGCGCTACAAGGGCCCGCCCAACGCTGCTTGCAGCTTTAAAAATAAGTCTTGTTACTGCAGTGATTGGCCAGTGGGTCATATCTGAGATTCCTGTTTGATGAAAAAGTCAGAAATGGCTCTGACTGCAGCTGCTGGGCAGAGCAAGATGACAGATTTGGGAGGAGGTGGACTTCACAACATGTTTCCAACTGCTTGTTGACTTTTACCAATGTTTTCCTGCAGGTGAGAAGTGATCATGTTGCTCCCATCTACGTCATCAACCTTCTCATTGCGGACCTCCTTCAGTTCTGCTTCCTGATCACTGAGGTGGCAAAGCTTGGAGATGTTGAGATATACTACATCTTCGCATATATTTACATCTTTGGTCTGATTGCCAGTATTTACTTCATGGTGTCTATCGCCCTGGAAAGGTATCTATCTGTCTATCTAGGGGTGGCTGTGGCTCAGGAGGTAGAGCAGATTGCCTGTTAATCGAAAGATCAGCGGTTCAATCCCTAACTCCTCCAGGCTGCATGTCGAAGTGTCCTTGGGCAAGATACTGAACCCTGAATTGCCCCTGGTGGCTGTTCCACCAATCTATGAATGTGTGTGAATGATGAATTCGATGTAGTGTAACAGCACTTTGTGGTTGCAAAGACTGGAAAGGCGCTATATGAATATGGAGCATTTGCATTTGTCTATCCAGTATGTGTGGAGCTCCTTCTGTGTCTGAACATTATATTAGTTTATAACTCTGAAGCTCCTCAAAGACTTTGTGTCCATCTTGTATTACAGGTATTTGGTCATCGCCCACCCACTGTGGTACCGCTGCAGACGAACCATCAAGAGCTCTGTTGTGATCTGTGTCCTGGTCTGGGTGCTTCCTTTTGCAAATGTTGTCCCTTACTATTTCTTTTCTGATGGTCTGGTGTACTACACAATCACAGCCATCTTCTTCCTCCTTCCCTTCCCACTTTTAATATTCTTCCTGGTTGGGACTCTCAAAGCCCTGTCTGCTTCCATCTCGGTCCCCTCTGATGAAAAACGAAGAATTGTGGGAGTTTTGGTTCTGGTGCTGCTTATTTACACGCTGCTGTTCCTGCCCAAAATCATTTCGTTCCTCTTAGTAAACACTGGCAATACCTTTTTCAACATGTCTCTTATTTGTATTAGGTTGAGCCCTCTTGCAGACTTAGTCCTGTATGTCTTCATGAGGAAAGGGACCATAGACAAGCTTTTGGCGTCTGTGTGTTGTTGCAGAATGGACAGCAGTGATATCAGCAGTCCATCAGTATGAATGATGACAGGCAGGCAGAGAAAGAGGGAGAGAGACATGGACATCATTATGCCTATTTATTTATTTATTTTACAGTTCAGACATGTACTCGAAAAAGTGAAACTGGAATATTGATACATATGAAAAAAATAATACAAACATAATTGTATTGTTTTGGCATAAAATAATCATTAAATTTAGGTTGATTCAAATTAGTGAGCGATACACAGTGATGTTGTAAGTTGTTGTTGATGACCATTTCTTGCTTAACTTTAGCTATGTATAAGTGAGATATTACCATTAATATAGCCTATCTCTATAGTATTTCAAAACATCAGTCCCCATAGAATGTTGTTGTCAGTGAAATCTAAATGTCATAGTATCCCTGTTGATAGGAAGATATTTGATGAGAGGGAGAGAGAAGCAGGAGATTCACAGGGCAGCTGATTCTTAGGTCAGTAGTGGTCTGCAGGTCTATGGAAATGTGGGGTGTTTTTTTTTCTTCTACAACAGGCAATTATTAGCAGTTCTAGGCACCAAGGTAGAGCCTAAACTAAATTATTTCATGATATATATTTGCTATCTTCTGCCCAACTTAACTTTCTGCATTTATTGGCTGTAATAAATGAAATATGTAGATGTTGCCTAAATGTAGACTAGGCTATACATTATCATATACCCACGGATATAAACACATAAACACAAAATTAAAGCAAAACATATGTACATTCATCCATACATTTAGTAATTTTCACTCCAAATCTTTTATTCCATCTGCCATCAGCTTAGTAAATTCAGTCAGTTGCCACTTTAAATAAGATCCTCATTAACAGCTTAAATTATTAAGTATTTATTGTATACTTGTTTGCAAGCCAAACTACAGAGCATAATCACACTGATTTAACCAATGTTCTCTGTAGTAATAGTATTTAGTGTAATTAAACAGCATTATTTGGACCTGCAACTTATCTGATAGAGAAAGGAATTAGATGATATTACTTTATCGCACATTTACATGAGAAGCTGAATAGCATTTTAAATCATAGCCTACAGAAAAACTCTGGCCTAGGTAAATTCCCCCCAAAAGCTTTGACATGTCTAAAAGCTAACATTGCAGTAACATTTGTTCAATAGAGGAGAGATGAAAGTACTTTTTAACATCTTGGCTTCCTCACTGGTTGTTGACATAAGTGTAGTTCTAAAATAGAGGAGCCCCACCCCCCCTCTTTCAATCCTAGTGACGTCCATGGGGAGAGAGAAAGGGGAGAAAACAGGAGGGAAAATGAGGGTTAATAGAAAGGATAGAGACAAGACAACTACTTTAATTTACTGATACTTCATCTAAAGCATCGACCTGCCTCTTAGACCCCATCCCGACTAGCCTGCTTAAAGAAATTTTACCCTTAGTCAGCACTTCTTTACTAGATATGATCAATCTGTCTTTATCAACGGGCTATGTACCACAGTCCTTTAAAGTAGCTGTAATTAAACCTCTTCTGAAAACGTCGACCTTTGATCCAGGGGTTTTAGCCAACTATAGACCTATATCTAACCTTCCATTTCTCTCTAAGGTCCTGGAGAAAGCAGTTGCTAAACAGCTGTGTGACTTTCTACAGAGCAATAGTTTATTTGAGGATTTTTAGTCAGGATTCCGAGTGCATCATAGCACAAAGACAGCACTGGTGAAAATTACTAATGACCTTCTGACTGCATCACACAAAGGACTTGTCTCTGTACTTGCTACATTCAATATTATTGACCATCATATCCTATTACAGAGACTGGAACATTAAATTGGCATTAAAGGAACCGCTCTAAGCTGGTTTAAGTCCTATTTATCAGATTGATCTCAGTTTGTACATGTTGATCAATCCTCTATACATGCAAAAGTTATTCATTGAGTTCCACAAGGATCTGTGCTTGGATCCATTCTATTTACCTTGTATATGCTTCCTTTAGGCAATATTATCAGGAAACACTCCATAAATGTTTATTGTTATGCAGATGATACTCAATTATATCTTTTGATCAAGCCAGATGAAACTAATTAGCTAGTTAGCTAAACTCCAAATGTGCCTTCAGGATGTAAAAACCGGGATGCCCTGTAATGTTCTAATGATAAACTCAGATAAAACTTAAGTTATTGTACTGGTACACCTGATTACTTTAGATAATCACCTGATTATCTAAAGATATAGTTACTCTGGATGGCATCATCCTGGCCTCCAGCACCACCGTGAGGAGTCTTGGAGTTATCTTTGATCAGGACATGTCCTTTAACACTTGCATAAAACAAAGTTTGAGGACTGCCTTATTTCACTTACATAAATTTTGCATAAACATTCTGTTTCAAAATTATGTATAAAAACTAGTCCACCCATTTGTTACTGCTAGGTTGGATTACTGCAATTCTTTATTAGCAGGCTGCTCTAATAAGTCCGTTAAGACTCTTCAACTGATCCGGAATGCAGCTTGTGTACTGAGAAGAACCAGGAAAATAGATTTAGCTTCTCTGCACTGGCTTCCTGTAAAATCCAGAAAATAATTTAAAATCCTTCTGTTTAACTAGGCACCATGTCATATTAGAGAGCTCATTGTACCTTACTACCCCAGTCAGAGCACTGCACTCCCAGAATGCAGCGTTATCAAGCTTCAGCTATCAAGCTTTTACAGTTTATTATTTCTCTGTGGATATTGTGTTTTGGTGAACTTTCTCTGGTGATGGCTTCAACACATGTAAATAAAATATGTTTTTATTAGTTTGTAGCTGTAAGTTTATGTCTGTCAATATTCTCCATTTATCACAGAAGCAAAGCAGATATTATTTTAGATTAACTGAGCTCATCATAGCCGCCTCGCTGTCTTCTTCCTAAATCTTTATTTTGATTGTTTGTATGTTTAACACAGGGGGAGCATCTTAACACGTATTTAGAGTTTCTCATACACATTTTAATTTAGTTGTTCTATGTTTACCCATACGTAAAAGTGTGTGGAGTTATTTTGCTTTTTTGTTATTTTTTTCTACAAATATGAAAAAAATTCCATATTGTTTGATTATCTTTATTTAATCTAAGTTTAAATTCTGGTGTTTTAGTGGTAGGCATGCTGGTGTTTAGGATGTGATTCAGAGCAGGTGTTTTGCAGCAGCTGTTGCTTGAGAATATGGATAAAATCTTTAACCACAGTTTATGTCAGTTTAAATTGTACATTTTCTAGAAATCCAATAAAAAATGTTTCTAGACAAAACTGTTTTTGTGTGTTTGTCTTTGACCAACTCAGTGATTTAAAAGCTGACAAATGAAGGTTTAAATCTCTATTGCCTATATGAACATAAAGCTTGGCCCTGCTGTCAATTATAGATCAATAGATCAAATATAATTTATTTAATCAAACATGTTAATAATAGAAAATAAAAAAACATAATTCAGTATTCACCTCCAATTTCCTTCTCCTCAGCCAGAAATACCTGTTTGGTTGGTCCATTGATTCCTTCCAAACAAACATCTTATATTACATGCTGGATCTCTGACTGCTCAGGCATTACTGTGAGAGGATTTCATCAACTCTGCACACCTTACTGAAAAGGTTTTTGGCTAACCTGATGGATAAAATCCATTTACACCGACATACAGTCCGGAATGGAAGTCAGCTCATATGAAGACAGAACTGAAAAGCCTGTTGTAATGTGAGCTACAGGAAAGATTTCTAGCCTCCAGCTTTAAGGGTATGTAGCTTTCATATTTTGATTTGATGTGTAGGTCAACAGGCTAAAGAAGTCTTGTCTTTTAAACCAGAATTTGACATTTCACACTGAATAAAATGTTGGAGTACCTAAGACTTGTATGTGTTCCAGTTTAACATGAGTATGTAATTTAAAGTCACATTCACATTGGGTACGTTGAGCAAAGATTCCACTTTTTTTGTTCATTTATTTGTTTAACAGTTTATTTTAGATGTAAAGTGATTATTTCCAGGGATGCACCACATCCTAAAATATATGAACATATTTTAGTTGGAGACCTTACTGTCATGTCCTCACTTTAAAGACACCTCAAGTAAAAACTGGCTCAACTCACCCCGCTCTCCCCTACTCACGCTTAGTAATTCATCAACTCAGATATAGTATGAATTAAAGCACGATACAGTAGCTTCAGAAATATTTAATGCTAAATTCTAAAACTGCAGATACAGCATTGATACCTAAGCTTGAATGATTTAACGATATTTTAGGCTGTTTAATCAAAAACGGATGTGTTTACAAATACAGCTTGGATAAAACCGCCATCAGGTTCTTACAAGTAAGTAAAGGACACATTCCATAGTACACGTAGATGCAAGCACACAAAGTACATGCACGACGTGCACACGTGACGTCCGTGAGGTGTATGCATTGGGTGTCCAATTGTGTGTGTCAGGATGTCTGACCATTTGACCAAATTGGTGTGTGTGTGTGTGTGTGTGTGTGTGCGGCACGCATGTGTGCAGTGGGTAAAATGCATGCTGTGAAGAAAACACCATAGTGTGAAAGGGGAGAGTTTGACCCCTGCAATCAGACCAAATGCAAAGTGCGGTACAGGACCTGGTGGCGCCAAGGCAGAAAGTTGCATGGCGCTGTATCTAGATAGCCCCTCAGTACTGAGATTTTCACCAACGGCTTCAGAGCATTGTTTGAAGAGGACTAGGAAGAGCAGAGTGACTGAGTCACTGCTGACAGACCGCTGTTGGCTGACGGGGAGCTGTGGGGGAAAGAGCACCTGAGCATATGGACAAATAATCACCTGTAGTCGAAGTGGATTCTGCTGCACAACTGCAGCATTTACCGGCGGGGGGACTCAGAGTTGACAGATTTTATGTTTTTCAGCAGGGGGCCACTGTGTTTCCGGTTTCCACGGTTTTTTGTTAGCGTCAGACATAACTGGACATTGCTTGGTGGAAAGTCAGCGAGGAAGTTGAACTACCTAGTAAGTTCAGAAATTATGTGACTTGATTCCAGATAGCATAACACAGACCTCATCAATCCGAACTCCATTCAGAAAAAAAACTTTTTTTCCTGCCAGCCTGTTGTCACTCCCAACTCGTCACATATGGACACGTGGTCAAGAGCCATAGTTGTCGTTTGTAACGCACTTGGGATAGCGTCATAGTGCAACACATTGGGGGAAGCCCTGTAGCATCAGTTTTTGATGGAATGATATTTAACAGAAAAGACTGAGTAAGGAGGTGGTTGGGGTGGATGGAGGGCCAGAACCCCGACTTTGAACCAGGAGACTGGGCTTGGTGTGTCCAAGTCAACATCAACTATTTTTATTTAGGCAAGTTATGTAAATTGATGTAAGTGATGTTAGTTAACTTACGTGTTAACTGACGTACGTAGTTATTTTAACCCAAACCATGATGTTTTCCTAACTTTAACCAAGTAATTT